CCTAAACCCTAAACCTTAGTATCAAGTCAGGGCCCTCACGCGGGATTTCTATCGGCGCTTGTGCTGACAAGCAAAGAACCGGCAATGGCTGTCATCAACTCACACTCCAGATGGCCGGGTACCCCTAAACCCTAAACCCTAAACCCTAAACCCTAAACCCTAAACCCTAAACCCTAAACCCTAAACCCTAAACCCTAAACCCTAAACCCTAAACCCTAAACCCTAAACCCTAAACCCTAAACCCTAAACCCTAAACCCTAAACCCAAACCCTAACCCTAAACCCTAAACCCTAAACCCTAAACCCTAAACCCTAAACCCTAAAAACCCTAAACCCTAAACCCTAAACCCTAAACCCTAAACCCTAAACCCTAAACCCTAAACCCTAAACCCTAAACCCTAAACCCTAAACCCTAAACCCTAAACCCTAAACCCTAAACCCTAAACCCTAAACCCTAAACCCTAACCCTAAACCCTAAACCCTAAACCCTAAACCCTAAACCCTGAACCCTAAACCCTGAACCCTGGATGTAACGATTTCAAGAACCTTGGGCCTAAGCCATTAGCATCTAAAACCGTCGTCCTTAGTGAGTTGAGGCAGCCCGGCGCTGCTCGCCAGAGAATCCTTTCCCTCCGAAGCACTGATATCAAGGTTCAAGGTTTCTGGGCTCAGGCTGTAGGGTTTAGGGTTTAGGGTTTAGGGTTTAGGGTTTAGGGTTTAGGGTTTAGGGGTTCGAAGGCTTCTTTCAACAGCTTGGTTTGGGAGGGCAAAGGAAAATCCTTTTTTCAACAAAGAACGTTCCATGTATCCTTTACTCACGCCACGCGGCCTCGAGTTGCAGGAGCTCGGCTACAGGTCTGGGACCCTAAGCCCTAAATCCTCCTCTGAAAGGTACCAGGGGGTTTGGAACGCTAAACACCAAACCCTAAACCCTAAGCCCTAAACCCTAAACACTATTTCATGATATGTAAATTTCCCGAGGGCTCTCAAAGCGATGAGGAACAGTGATTCGCGTTTAGGGTCTTAAGGCATAGGCGATGCGGAAACAAAACGCTCCGGTCACGTGACAAAACGCTGCTGGGGCCGTTTCGACACCGATTGCAGATGCTGGGCTGGCCGCCCACAGCCAAAGGAGAAGATGCTTCAGATGCCGTCCTCGACGCAAAGCCAAAAAAGGCTCCTAGCCAAAGCCCTAAAAACCCAACTTCGAACCTCTAAAACTCTTATAGTAGTAGAGTAGGTAACCTTGAACCTGGTCGGGGCATTCTAATCCCCACAGAATCCCAAAGGTTAACCTTTAGTTACGCTAGGAGACTGGACAAGCAAGAAAACCCCAAGCCCTGAACCACACCGTCAAGAACCACCCTTCAGGTTTTGGGGATTTAGGGTTTAGGGTTTAGGGTTTCGGGTCTCAGTGTTTAGGGTTTTTGGGTTTAGGGCTTTAGGGCTGTAGGGTTTTAGGTTTAGGGTCTTAGGGCTTCTCGGGAGGTCCTTCTGCATTTTTTTTGCTGCGAAGTTGCCTCATGGCCCTGATGTCGTGTAGCCAGGCCTTTAAACTCTGAACCCCAAACCCTTAAAGTTTTCTCGCAAAATCCTCAGCTTTAGCCCCTAAACAACTCCCCACATGCTCTCTGAAAAGGGTACCTCTAGCCCCCGTAACCCCCTGATAATCTTAACCAAGCCCACGTCCCAGGGTTTAGGGTGTAGGGTTTAGGGTTTAGGGTTTAGGGTTTAGGGTTTAGGATATAGGGTTTAGGGTTTATGGTTGAGGGTTGAGGGTTTAGGGTTAGGGTTTAGGGGGCCTTCTATGATATACTTTGTGCTGAGGGCCTTGCGTTCTTTGATTCACGAGTGCAGCTTTGCGCGGTCCTCTCCGGGCTCAGGTGCTGACATGAGGGCGAAAGCTAGCAAACCGCAACACCCTAAACGCTAAAGCTTCTAACCTTAAAACCATAATCGCCAATTCCTAAACCCTAAACCCTAAACCCTAAACCACACCTCCATCTCGAACTTTGGTGTTCACGAGGGCTTGGGGCTACTGAGCCGGCCACGCCAGTTGGGGCTTCCACATCCCAGTTTCCAGACTGCGGGCACTGAAAGCAACGCCCTAAACCCTCCCTGAACCCTAAACCCTAAACCCTAAACCCTAAACCCTAAACCCTAAACCCTAAACCCTAAACCCTAAACCCTAAACCCGAAACCCTAAACCCTAAACCCTAAACCTTGGACCCCTGCTCCCAGAGCTTCCCCCTCGCTCCCCTCCCCCTTCTTTGTGCCTGCGCTGCCATGTCGCCGGCCCAGGCTGGGCAGTCGGATCAGTAGGTTGACCTACGAGGGATTTTAGTTTGGGGTTTAGGGTTTAGGGTTTAGGGTTTAGGGTTTAGGGTTTAGGGTTTAGGGTTTAGGGAATTAGGCACCCTGGCTTCGGGGGCTGTTGCCAGCAGCTGGCCATGCCCCAGAGCCACAAGAACAAAGGCAGGGGAACAACGACAGCAAGAAGAACAGCCAGAACAAGAAACATTTTCGCGTGCGCGCGCATGCGCGCATGCGCGCATTGCGTGCGTTCGCGGGTGCCGGACCCGATGTCGGGGTTTGTTTGCAAGCCCCCCCGAAGCCCCTCCGGCAGCTTTTCCAGCACCGGCCGGTTGGCATGGGCAGGGGGTCCCCAAGAGGGTCCGCAAGAAATCTGCGAGGTCAGTGGCAGGCATGTAGCATTACCTGCAGAATTGGGGGTGGCCTCGTGCCAGTAGAGCCTCCCTTCGACATTTGGCTTCTCCCTCCTGCCACAGGCCTGCTTGACGACTCGACCTTGGCCTCGTTTTAGGGCTTAGGGTTTAGGGTTTAGGGTTTAGGGTTTAGGGGGAACATCTTCTTGTCCTCGGCGTTGCAGGATGGCGTCGATGGTTTTGAGTTTCACCTGTGCTTGAGGCCTTTGTTCCTTGTTTTCTGGTCAAAGGGTTGGGCTTGTGTTGCAGCTGAGCTGAGCTAACTAGTTACCTAAACCCTAAACCCTAAACCCTAAACCCTAAACCCTAAACCCTAAACCCTAAACCCTAAACCCTAAACCCCAAACCCTAAACCCTAAACCCTAAACCCTAAACCCCAAACCCTAAACCCTAAACCCTCAAACCTTCCCCCCTCTTACTGCGGAGGCAGCCATGGAGGAAGTGGAGGGGCTGCCCCAGACGCAGGTCTTCGCCCAAGGCGGGCGCCCCCCTTCGCTTGGTTTTAGGCTGTTTAGGGTTCAGGGTTAGGGTTTAGGGTTTAGGGTTTCGGGTTTCGGGTTTAGGGTTTAGGGTTTAGGGTTTCGGGCCCACTGGTACCCTTTACCCTTTTTTTTGGGTTCTGGGTTCCCTCATAAAGTAACCAACCCCCCAACAGGGTGCCCTTCTTATGGTTGCCGGGCTGCCGGTTGTGGGTCTCGGTGCGGGTTCGGGGCTTAGAGCTTAGGGCTGTTTAGGGTTTAGGGTTTAGGGTTTAGGGTTTAGGGTTTAGGGTTTAGGGTTTAGGGTTTAGGGTTTAGGGTTTCGGTGCGTGGGGATGAAGTGGGTTTGGGGCTTGGGGTTTATGAGTGGTCTGGGGTTTGTGGGGCATATGGCTCTTTCAGTCAGGTACAGGAAAATTCGAGCTTGTAAATGAGGGTGTCGGTTTGTGCAGTGTATATAGCTACAAGGGTTAAGGATCTAGGGTGTTGATGGAAAACAAGCCTAAGCGGTTTCCCGAAACCCAAAACCAAATCCCTATACCCGCCCCACCCTTTCACCTCTGTTAGGGTAAGCGGGGTCTTAAACCCTAAACCCCAAGCCTTAAAAACCCTAAACGCTTAACCCTCAATCCTCAACTCTCAACCCTAAACCCTAAACCCTAAACCCTATACCCTTAAACTTGCATTTGTGTCCAGAAAATTTGATTCCCGGATGCAATTCTGGACCGGAAAGCCTTCGATGAGTAACACGCTTCGGCTTGAACCCTTAAGCTTTAGAGTTTAATCCTAAACACTGAACCCTAAACCCCAAAGCATTTGGGTTTAGGGTTTAGGTACGATCCTAGACCCGAAGCCCTTCGGCCAGGAAACCCTGCACCCCAAACCGTAAACCCTAAACCCTTAGCCCTGAACCCTAAAACCTAAACCTTCCCCTGGCCGTAAACGCATAACTCGGGCACGATGCTGGACATGACAATATCGATGCTCTGGCTTGGCTTTTTTCTGGAGGTTTAGGGTTTAGGGTTAAGGGTTTAGGGTTCAGGGTTTAGGGCTCCGGGTTTTTGTAGCTATACTAACAGTAGGATTAAAATAGGGGGTACTACAATTCCTATTAAGAGTGGTTAGTATAAGGGGTAACGTCCCAAGTGTTTTGTGTTTGTGGTTGCATTGCTTTCTTTCCGTCTTCGCCTTGTTTTGCCTTTTTTTCTCGCTTGCCTCTTGTTTTTGCTTGTTCATTGCATTTTTTGTTCCCGGTCTGCTCGTTTTGCTTTTTGCCTTTGCTTTGCTTTTCGTTTTGTTTTGCTTAGGCGTTTCCTTTCGATCTCTGCTTTCCGCGTTTTGCTTTTGCTCTGTTATGATTTGCTTACTAGGATGCCCAGTAGTGCCCTTATTCCCTTTTTGGGGGGTTTAGGTTCCCTTATGAACCCTTTTAAGCAAAAAAGGGCACCCTTTTTGAGCCTTGGTTACTGGGCAGCCTAGTTTAATATTCTGCTTGTCACTTGGTTTTGCTTGTTGCTTTCCCTTGTTTGCTTTTGCCTTCCCGCCCTCTGGTCTCACCTTACGCCGATTCTCTGCGTCTCCGCTTCTGCGGTTGTAGTTTCTGATGCCCACTTAGGGTTTAGGGTTTAGGGTTTGCCCGCTGCTAAAGCTGCACAAGCTTGCTGCCAAAGGCCTCCCCTCCCAATCCTTCCGGCTCTTTAAGGCAAGTAAGTATGTCCCTGCCACTGTTTCGCGATTCTGAATTGTACGGGACCTAGGCGAAAGCACGATTCGAATGCCTCTTTTTGTTGCAGCCAATGTCACGGGCATGCGGCAACTTTGCGATGGTCGTCGATCGCAAGTTGCAACGCACCCTTGGCCTAGGCGACGGCGTCCGAATCAACAAGAAGCACTGACAGGGTCATTGATTTTTCATACGAGCATGTGCAGGCACAAGAAAGACGCAAGGATGCCAATCAAAACACAAGAAACACAATTTTTTTGCTTTTGACCCTCCGGTTTTGGCTCTTTTTGAGTTGTGTTCGGACGGTCTTGGGGCGGGCACGTCTTCAGCTGTCAGATGCTATGCCCTTTACCCGAGACCGTCGAACCCTAAAACCCCAAGGCCTCCATCCCTACAGCCCTAAACCCTGTAAGCCCTAAGCTTGGGGATGTTCCACCTTACACTAACAGTCCTTAATTGGGATTCTAGTGGGGGGTACTAATGATACTAATGGAGGACGATGAGCACAAGGGGGAACATCCTAGCCCTGAGACCCCAAGAGCCAGAAATTTTCAGGCCGCTCCCGCACGACGCCGGCCCCTGAAGTTGTGAAGACGAAGGCTGTTGCGGCTGGTTTAGGAATTTAGGGTTTAGGGTTTAGGGTTTGGGGTTTAGGGTTTAGGCTTTCGAGTGCCAGGTTCATAGGGGGTTTGAAGGTTTGAGGGCTGAGATGGCTACGGGGTTTAGGGGTCGGGTTTAGGGGTGTTCGGGGGGTTGAAGATGGGGGGGTGGTGGGGGGGGGGGGGGTTGGGGTTTGGTGCGATTCAAGCGTTTTCGGGTTGGAGACTGGGAACTTCTGGGCATGAGTCAGCATGAGGGCTATGCAGGCTTCTGTTCCGAGGGTTTCGGGTTTCGGGTGTAGGTTTTATTCGTTAGCTCCCGAAACTCCCGAGCATCTCTTTGCAAGGACATGGTCTGGACTGCCTGGGATGTACTGGGGTCCCAAATGCAGTCCCTTCAGGGTCTCCGTCTATAGTATCTGAAAGGGTTGTATGGGCAGATGTGGGGTACCTCATTCCCTCATACCCTAAACCCTAAACCCTTAGCCCTAAACAATCCCTCAACCCTAAACCCTAAACCCTAAACCCTAAACCCTAAACTCTAAACTCTAAACCGTAAACCCTAAACCCTAAACCCTAAACCCTAAACCCTAAACCCTAAGTCCTAAACCCTAAACCCTAAACCCCAAACCCCAAACCCCAAACCCCAAACCCTAAACCCTAAACCCTAAACCCTAAACCCTAAACCCTACGTGAAAGGTGTTCCCGGAAGACCCCCAGCTCCAGACTTGCGCCAAGCATCCACTCTGCCACCCCTCAACATCCAACACTCTAGTGCCCTGGACTGGGTTGTTGACTTGAAAATATTGGGGTTTAGGGTTTAGGGTTTAGGGTTCAGGGCTAGGGTTTTGGGTTTAGGGTTTAGGGCTAGGGTTTAGGGTTCAGGGTTTAGGGTTTTAGGGTTTAGGGTTAAATTGTTGGTGCCCCCTAATCCTTATACAATTCTTCTATGGCCAGGAAAAACATGACTTTTATAGGGCCCCCCAAGCCTACCCAAGTGAAGGTATAAGTCCAGACCAAAGGCCCGAATTGAACCCTAGTCCCTAAACAACTTCGACATTCCACCAGCCTCCTCTAAGCGCCTTGCCGCAAACCCCTTGACCCCAAAGCCCTGAAGCCCTGAACCAAAACCCTGACTGGAACCTACAGTAAACTCCAGAAAGTTGGAACATGTTCTAAGGATAGTTAGAGTTAAGGATAATTAGAGCTGGGATTCCCTTTAGGATACCTTCTGGGGTAGGAGGATATGGATGTTCTCACTTTTTTGGAGTTTACTGTGACCCGAAAAAGCCCTGAGCCTCTATCACCCTGCAGCCCTTAAGCCGACAGCCCTGAGCCCCTGAGCCCCTAAGCCCCTCAACCCTAAAGCCCTGAGCGCCCCCAACCCTCAACCCTCAACCCTCAACCCTCAACCCCCAACCCTCAACCCCCAACCCTCAACCCTCAACCCTCAACACCCTCAAACCTAAACCCTCAACCCGCAGCCCTAAACACCCTAAACCACAACCCCCAAAACCCCTAAGACACCCGCAGGAGGCCCTGCGGAGGAGCCCTGTGCAAGCCCCACCCGCAGCGCAGAGCGTGCCACCACACAGGCCTGGAACGGGGTTTAGGGTTTGGGGTTTTGGGTTTTGGTTTAGGGTTTAGGGTTTAGGGTTTAGGGTTTAGGGTTTTGGGTTTTGGGTTTAGGGATTAGGGATAGGGTTTAGGGTTTAGGGTTTAGGGTTTAGGGTTTAGGGTTTAGGGTTTAGGGTTTAGGGTTTAGGGTTTAGGGTTTAGGGTTTAGGGTTTAGGGTTTAGGGTTCAGCATCTATGGTCCAAGCATTCACCAATGGTGTTTGGCGTCACCCCACCCACCCAGAATCCCTTTTATTTGGCAACCCTACCTATCATTCCAAGTCCTTCTGCCTAATTCCCATTCCTAAGTCATCAATCCAAAATCCGAAGGCTGGAGTTCGGTACAGCCAGACCAGCTGCGAAAGATTTCCAGTGGCGCGTGCTGTTGATGTCAGCTTGCTGTCCGTTCAACATCGCAGCCGACCACGATGCATCGCGCTACCAGAGACCGGCTACGATCCTGGCTTTTGACTGGGGGATCTTCTTGTCAGGCCATTTTGTACGTCGATACTCTGTATATGCTTCGCACATCAGTCACTTGGGCATTCCCTCAATTGAAGTGCACGACGGAAAAGATTGCGATATATCGTATCCAAGAGGCGTTTTTGACACCGAATGACACGAGAAGTGTCGAGCCCGAAAAAACAACGCATTTTATCTAAGGAGAACAAAAAAATTGTGCGTGCCGCGAGAGCCTGGAAACGGCGCGAAACACATCTCCAAAAACGTGCTTGGGGAGTGATTCACGTATCTTGTGTTCTCGAAAATACTATGTTTTTCCTGACTTTGCCCCCTGGGCTTCCAAGCCCCTCCAGGCAGGCTTGAACCCGAAACACTCTGTGCTGCCCAATCCCGTACCTCACATCCGACCCCCTTCACCCTGGGCCAAAGCCTAAGCCCCAAACCCTAAACCCGGACCCCAAAAAACACCCCTCTGTCCGGGCCCGCAAAAAGCGGCCGCCCTACCCCGTAGCTTACACGCATCGTGAGCTGGTGCAGACACTAAGTGCGTGCGAAGCACACACGTGTGTCTAGTATATATATATATACATATACATATATATATACACATATATATATATATATAATTTTGCCCAGTGGGTTTAGGGCCGGTTTAGGGTTCAGAGTTCAGGGTTTAGGGTTTAGGGTTTAGGGTTGAGAGTTTAGGGTTTAGGGTTGAGGGTCGAGGGTCTTGGGATGCCAACGCTTGACACCGCCTGACATTCGGTGCCGCAGCAGCCTTCTCAGCAGAACCAGGTTATTTGGGATGTTCCCCCACGACATGACAGTCCTTAGGGTTTAGGGTTTCGGGTTTAGGGTTTAGGGCCTTATGATACATGACAGTCCTGAATAATTTCTGGATTCTCATAGGGGTGTTGGAATCCCTGTTAGGGACTGTTAGTATACGCGGGAACATCCCAGCAGGTCATCTTCAAGCTGACTCAGGTTGGTCTCCATGTGACAAACAAACTGTTCACTCCACAAGCACCCAAGCAGCAAACCCCGAGCCCTCTTGGGGTTTAGAATTTAGAATTTAGGATTTAGGGTTTAGGGTTTAGGGTTTAGGGTTTAGGGTGCGACATGCAGGTGTTGGCCGGGGCGTGGCAAGCTCGCATGGATGCACCTTGCCAGAGCATTCCACGGGCTTCCGAATCCTGCGTCCTGCTCCGATCGCTTGCGCCCAAAAGCCTAAAACCCTAAACCCGAAACCCGAAACCCGAAACCCTAAACCCTAAACCCGCAACCCTAAACCCTACACCCTAAACCCTCAACCCTCAACCCTCAAGCCTAAACCCTAAACCCTAAACCCTAGACCCTAACTAAACCCTAAACTCTCCAGTGCAAGCTACATCCAGAGTCATCAATCTAGGTCCCGAGCCTGAGGGCACCCTCGATGTCTTCTGGGTGGTTCTTAGTAGGGAATAACCCTAAATCCTAAACCCCAGGCCCTGGGCCCTAAACCCCTGCACCCTAGAACCCTAGAACCCTAGAACCCTAGAACCCTAGAACCCTAGAACCCTAGAACCCTAGAACCCTAGAACCCTAGAACCCTAGAACCCTAGAACCCTAGAACCCTAGAACCCTAGAAACTCAGAACCCTAGAACCCTAGAACCATAGGACCCTAGGACCCTAGGACCCTAGAACCCTAGAACCCTAGAACCCTAGGGCCCTGAACCCCAAACCCTAAGCCGCAGGGGGTTCTTGATTTTGTCTTGCCCTCACTTTTCGCACCTCCAACCAGGGGTTTCCACGCTGCACCGAAGACAAACTCAACCAGAATTAGGTTTTAGTTTTTAGGGTTTAGGGACCCGAAGACCCGAACCATAAGTCATGCTCTTGCAAATTCGCAAGGTGTTGAGGGTTGTTGACGGTTTTCGGTACAATAAACCCTAAGCTCGGGAGGCCTTCTCCAGCGATGCGCCCAGGATGTTGTTTGGCGTTTTCCTCGTGGTCGACTCCTCCAAGTACCTAGTCGATGCCGCCGACCCTGGAGTTATAGGGTTCTTATGGGAGGGGGACCCCAAACCCCAAACCCCAAACCCTAAACCCTAAACCCTAAACCTTAAACCCGAAACCCTTAACCCTTAACCCTAAACCCTAAACCCTAAACTTCAAGATTCCCCAGTACTCCCCACGACTCCCTAAGGCTCACTAAGCTTCCCTAAGCTTCCCTAAGGTTCTCCAGGTACCTACTCCCCCACATGATGCCCCGGAGGCTTACTGTTGGTTAGTAGGGAATGGGAGAATGAGGTACACTGTAGAATCCGTTAAGAGGTATATGTAGGGGGATATGGGGTACCTCATTCCCTACTAACCAGCAGGAAGTGGAGGGTGAAGAGATGGATTTGTATTGGGTTCTTCGTAAACATTTACGGCTTGTGGCTCTAAACCCCAAATAGCAAAATTCTTTTCCCTGCTCATCCTTACGTACGAATAAAGAGCTGCCTAAAACAGCCACACTTCTTTGAATATCGGCCCCTTTATACTTCAGATCTTGGATTTTCTTGCAGGCGGGGGTTATAGCCTTCGCAGGGTTTCGGGTTTGGGGGTCTAGGGTTCAGCCCATTGCCCTGCTGGGGCGATGATGGCGATGAGGGTGTCTAGGCCTGGCATGAGAATCTGTACATTTTGCGCCTGCTGGATGTCACATCGAAGGGGCACAGGCTTTCGAGCTCTTGAACACTCTGCGCCCTCAACACCTTGAACCACCCATGTCCCGATAGAGGCTCACATAAAGTCCTAAAAGCAAAAAATTAAAGCCCTAAGCCCAACACCCCGAACTCTAAAACCCTAAGCCCTAAACCCCAACCTTAGCCCTACAGCCCGAAACCCCGAACCCTAAACCCCTGAGCCCTAAACCCCAATCTAAGCCCTAGAAAACTAAACCCCAAACCCCAGCACCCTGAAGCCCTGAATCCTAAAGGCCAAAAAGGGTTTTGGGGTTTAGGGCTTAGGGTTTAGGGTTTAGGCGTTAGGAACCCTAGATCCTAAAATCGAAACCCCTCTGCCCTAAAGCAGAAGCCACGAAGCTCAGCCCCTCAAGCACCCGAAAGAACGCCAAACACACACGCGCACACACAAAGGGTTTGAGGGTCTAGGTTTTCTGGGGTTTAGGGTTTTCTAGGGTTGAGGGTGCAGGGTTTTAGGGTTTTGGCCCCAAAAAGCTGATCTTGCTCGTAGATGTTGGGCTCAGGGTGTGCTGAAGGCAAAGGGTTTAGGATTCCAGGGTGTGGGGTGTAGGGTTTAGGGTTCGGTTCAGGGTACCACTCGAGCTCCTTCTCCCCCCCCCGCCTGGCCCTGGCCCTGCAAGGCCCCCCTGGCCCCCCCTCGCACCCTCCCTCTGGCAACCAGGACGGGCTATTATACCCTACAACCCCTTAAGAAGGCCCTTTTTAGGGTTGATTATGGGGATTACAGGGCCTAATCGCCCATCCTGCAATGCCCTCACTCCTTCACGATGGTCACGTTCGCGCGGCTGAGCGTGACTTCCGCTGCTGCCCTCTGCATCTCACTGCTCTTGATCCAGGTCGTTTGGCGCAGCGCCCCCGCCCCTGACTTAGCGCCGGAAGCTACGGAAGCTACGCAAGAAGCTACGGAAGCTGCGGAAGCTACGCAAGAAGCTACGGAAGCTACCGAAGCTACGGAAGCTACCGAAGCTACGGAAGCTATGGAAGCTACGGAAGCGACAACTTCTGCCGCTGCTGCCTTGCAGTCGGGCCCTCGCTCCGTTGAGGGCCTGTACGACGCCCAGCCCCTTGCCTGCGAGGAGGTGAGAAAGGTGATGCGGCCCGTGTGGACCTGGAGCAACAAGAGGTCGGAGGGGGGGGGTTTGATTTTGGAATAACTTGCTAGCCAGGTGGTAGCCTTTAGCCCATTTTTTTTGATTCAAGGCTCCCTGATAAGGCAACCAACCAAGAACAGTACCCATGTTGTAACAGGGGGGTTTACGACTTTGGGGTACAAGGGGATCCTCCTATTTGGGGGTCTAGTGAGGAATACCTTATTATCGCAAACCCCCCATATGGGTACCTGGGCTACCAAGATAAAAGTCCAAAACTTCATGGCCCTTCTCCCATCGAACCCTCTGCCCGATAGAACCTCAGCAAGTTTCTAGGGGCGCCCAAAAAAACCCTAGACCCTAGCCCTAAATCCTAAACCCTAAACCCTAAACCCCAAACCCTAAACCCTAAACCCCTAAACCCTAATCCCCAAACCCTAAACCTTAAACCTTAAACCCTAAACCCTAAGCCCTAACCCCCAAACTCCAAACCCTCAAACAGGTGTCAGCATTTTCAGTACCTTCACGTGGGCAAGACGGGCGGTATGGCTTTCAGCCTCTGGGCGGCGGAGAGCAACTTGAGCTGCTTGTTTGTCAACCCGGAGATTCTTGGATGCCCAGTTTGGAATGTTTAGGGTTTAGGGTTTAGGGTTTAGGGTTTAGGGTTTAGGGTTCAGGGTACTCCTCCCCCACCCCCCCCGCCCCCTTGCTCCGAGGGTTTAGGGTTTAGGGTTTAGGGTTTAGGGTTTAAGGTTTAAGGTTTAGGGTTTAGGGTTTAGGGTTTAGGGTTTAAGTGTTAGGTTTAGGGATCCCCTCCTCAACCCCTGTTAAAGCACAAGAAGCCCTTGCCAACCGAGGAATCGACCTCATCCCTTCACTCACACCCGGCTGTCTCCGGTGTACTTGGAGAAGCTACCGGAGCCTTGGTGACCAATTGAAGCCTAAAACGGGTTTAGGGTTTAGGGTTTAGGCTTAGGGTTTAGGGTTTAGGGTTTAGGGTTTAGGGTTTAGGGTTTAGGGTTTAGGGACCCTATAATCGGGGTCCACATACCCTATGCAATTACAACCCTCTGAAGGTACGTGAACCCTAAACCCTTTTGGGGTTCCTTCCGTTCCCAAGGAGCACACCTGCTTCATCTTCTTCGCGCGCGACGTGGTAGACCGCTGGCGGAGCGGCTTCTTCATGGCGGCGCGGAAGAAGAAGGACCCCTGGATTTTCGAGAAGTTCCCCATGGTCAACGACCTGGCAGAAGCCCTGTCGGCCGACGACGAAGAGCGACGAAGGCTGGCAAAACGGGCACACCAGACTTTGGAGCACCTCCACCGCGGATTTGCCTTCTATCTCCCCGACATCGACAATCTTCTTGATCGAGTGCTTTTCGTGGGCCTCACCTGCAACCTTGGGGATTCTTGGGAATTATTTTTGAATTTTTTTGGGTACTGTAATTCCTAAGAATCAGCAAGAATCATACTGTTTACTGGGGTTCCAAGCTCAGTATAGGCAACCTTCGGGAGGATGTGAAGGACATGCTGCTTAAGATGGGGGTCCCTGACAGCATCGTAGCGCGCCTGCCGGCGTTCGCCTCGCAGAACACCATGTGGAAGGTCTTCAAGAATGCGACGTACATGTCCAAACTTGCAATACGCAATGTGAAGAAGATCATGCGCCAGGACTATCGTGTCATCGATCCTGGGCATGTGTTGGATTGCGCCAATCATTCCTTAATGCCCCCTAAGTAAGGTTGAAGCCAGTCGTCCACGAGTTAAACCGTATATAGGCTACAGCCCCCCCCCACTGGCACACAGCATTTTATGAGGTAATATTGGGTGTAATTCGGCCTTGAGGAGAATGTTGCTACATCGGGCGCCCAATCCTTGAACTCTAAACCCTAAACCCAACCCCAGGTCCTAAACCCCGTGGCCCGGGGAGGCAGGTATGCCGCACGGAAGAGAAGAACGAGAAAGCCGCTAGAAGCCAAGGCTCCGCAAGTTTGAGCCCTAAAAGGAAAAGGTTTGGGTGGTTTTGCCACCTGAGACGAAGCGAGTCTGCATCCCAACCTTAAACCCTAAACCCTGGACCCTAAACCCTAAACCCTAAACCCTAAACCCTAAACCCAGGGATTATACTAGTATAAGGGGGAACCTTCCGCATCTGACAGCAAAGGAGCTGGTCACCAATGCGGGCTTGCTGCGATCGCGCAACTTCTCTAGAGACCCAGGGGTTTGACGGGCTTGGGGTTTAGGGTTTAGGGTTTAGGGTTAGGGTTTAGGGTTTAGGGTTTAGGATTTAGGGTTTAGGGTTTAGGGTTCCAGGGAGTCCAGGGGTTCAGGAAGTTCCAGGGTTCCAGGGTTCCAGAAAGGCTTTTGCAGCTAGGGGTCTAGGGTTTAGGGTCCAGGGTTTAGGGAAAGCCTAAACCCTAAACCCTAAACCCTAAACCCTAAACCCTAAACCCTAAACCCTAAACCCTAAACCCTAAACCCTAAACCCTAGATGTCTTGACTCAGCCCAGACAGAATCTGATTGGCAGCTGGGTGAGCAGACTCTGCTAGAACGCTCGCCTAAAAGCCCGACACGCCCTAAAGGCCCTCAACCCTGAACTCTAAACTCAAACCTTCAACCCTATGCCCTAAACCCTAAACCCGAAACCCTAAACCCTAAACCCGAAACCCTAAACCCTAAACACCCCAAACCCTCGACTCCATAGCTTCAGGCAATGTCACGCAGCTTTGCGCTGACCTGAAGAAGAGAGGCTCAGCCTCTAAACAGGCAGGGCCGGGTTTGCAGATGAAACCCTCAGCCCGATGGGAAGGTACCCCAAACCCGAAACCCTAAACTCGAAACCCAAAACCCGAAACCCTAAACCTTAAACCCCTAACCCCTAAACCCCTAAACCCCTAAACCCCTAAACCCCTAAACCCTAAACCCTAAACCCTAAACCCTAAACCCTAAAACCTTGCGGGACCACGAGGCTCCCACGAGCCGCGGGCCTGCATCCCACATGGAAAGCGCCAGCAAGCAAAAGAGCTCGTGGGGTTTAGGGTTTAGGGTTCAGGGTTTAGGGTTGGTTTAGGGTTTAGGGTTTAGGGTTTAAGGTTTAGGGTTTAGGGTTTGGGGTTTAGGAGGTTCAGGGCACCCCCCTCCTAGAAGCGTAGACGACCTCTAATCCCTAGACCCTAAACCCTAAACCCTAAACCCTAGACCCTAAACTCTAAACCCTAAACCCAAAACCCCAAACCCTAAACCCTAAACCCTAAGTCCTAAACCCTCAACCCTAAACCCTAAACCCTAAACCCTAAACCCTAAACCCTCGAATCGAATGCTCTCAACTCACAAGTGCTCAGCCCCACCAAGGTCAAGGCCATGAGCAATTATACCTGTACTTATAACCCAAACTATAACCATATCACGGCATTACAAGTGGGTTATAAGTACAGTTATCCTAAACCCAAAACCCTAAACCCTAAACCCTATAGGTACAGATATAACTGGCTAACACGTACCATGAACCTCCAAGCAAGGTCAAGGCCATGAGCAGCGCCCACATCGCGCAGGCCGTCGTCTTCTCGCAGGCGCCCTTTGACTTTGGGGGCGGAGGGCTTCGGGTTTAGGGTTTAGGGTTTAGGGTTTAGGGTTTAGGGTTGGGGCTGGAGGGCTTCGGGTTTAGGGTTTAGGGTTTTGGGTTTTAGGCTTCTAGAGTTTGGAGGGGGGGGGGGTGTTTGGGAAGTTCCGGGTTGCGATATCCTAAACCCTAACCCCTTAACCCTAAACCGCCCCTGATTTCGGAAACCCCCGCGTGGCGGAGTGTTTGGATGCTTGGCAAGTCGAAAGCTGGGGTCTTCCGGAACATCTTTCAAGTGCCCCCCCCAAATCAAATTTCAGCCCAGGGATCTAAGCAGGTTGGGTGTTGGCCGACAAGATGGCTCCCCCATCTGACTGTGAGCTCTTAGTGTTTAGGGTTTAGGGTTTAGGGTTTAGGGTTTAGGGTTCGGGTTCAGGGTTTACGCGAAACCCATGCGAATCTCCAGGACCTCCTGTCCGTGATCCTCTGCCTGCTTGCTGTTCTCAGGCCTAAGCTGCGAAGGGAGTGGATGGCAACTCTTCAGGGTTTAGGGTTCAGGGTTCAGGGTTTAGGGTTTAGGGTTTAGGATTTAGGGTTTAGGGGGTTCAGGGTTTACAACAGGGGGTACTATCATCCCGATCAAGGACTGTTAGGATCACGGGACATCCCAAGTTTTTAGCCCCAGACCCTTAATCCGAAACCCTAAGCCCCAAAAGCCCGAAAAGCCAAAAAGCCTTTAACCTCAGACCCTGATACCCCCAAAAAGGCTTAAAAAGTACAGTTCAGAGTTAAACCCTAAACCTTGAGTCCGAAACCCTGGTACCCCAAAATGGTTCGGGGGGTCTTAGAATTCAAGAACCCGAGACCCTAAACCCTAATCCCACAGCCCTTTAACAACACTAATCCCTGAGAACCAGGGTTTCAGTTTCGGGTTTAGGGTTTAGGGATTAGGGTTTAGGGTTTAGGGTTTACGGCCAGGGTTTAGGGTTTAGGGTTCAAGCCTCCCCACACATCTCCAAAGGGGTTGAGGGCTTCGGAAACCTTGCAGGAAGTTTGGGGTTTGAGACCAGTGGGCATGTCTGGGTTCTACCATTTTGGCAGATTGAGCCCGAGGTGTGGGTGCAGAGTACATTCGAAACCCTGCAGCCTAAGAAAACTTCATAAGGCCTCTGTGGCCCTAAACCCTAAACCCTAAACCCTAAACCCTAAACCCTAAACCCTAAACCCTAAACCCTAAACCCTAAACCCTAAACCCTAAACCCTGAGCACCTTAGCTACGTGAAGCGCAGGTACGAGGGCGTCAAGGGAATCCCAGCGACGTTCTGCTCGATGGAGACGCTCAGCTCGCAAGCAAAGGCCCTGAACCCGAAACCGAAGCCTTCAATCCTAAACCCTAAGCCGTAAACCCGAAAACCCTAAACCCCAAACCCTCAAGACCCCCAAATCTCTGAAACCCGAAACCCGAAATCGTAAGCCCTAACACCCTAAAACCCTTAACCCGGGCACCCGAACACCTAAACCCTAAACCCTAAACCCTGAAGCCTCAATCCCTAATTCTAAGGGTGGAGACATGGCCTTAGTATGGCCCCTTACCCTTTTTTTTATAGGGATCCGAAGTATGGACCCTTATGACTTCGCTAAGGGTTATATAACAAGGGCCCAGATCAAGGGCCCAGACGTGGAACGCTAGCCCTAAACCCTAAACCCTAAACCCTAAACCCTAAACCCTAAACCCTAAACTTTAAACCCTAAACCATAAACCCTAAACCATAAACCCTAAACCCTAAACCCTAAACCCTAAAACCTAAACCCTAAACCCTAAACCCCGAAGCCCTCCACCCTAAAGCCTAAAGCCCTAAACCCTAACCGGGCTTGTGTTTGGAGAGATTTTGCCGAGGCTGCTGCGTTGCTTTCCCACCGCGGCGCTCTTCTCACTGGGCCCAAGCCTTGGCTTGGTAGGGTTTAGGGTTTAGGGTTTAGGGTTAAGGGTTTAGGGTTTAGGGTCTAGGGTTTAGGGTTTAGGGTTTAGGGGTTTAGGGTCCAGGGTTTGGGGTTTGGGGTTTAGGGTTTAGGGTCCAGGGTTGGGGGTTTGGGGTTTGGGGTGTAGGGTTTAGGGTTTAGTGTTCAGGGTTAGGGTTTCGGGTTTAGGGTTTACGAAGTTTAGGGTTTAGGGTCTAGGGCTTAGGGTTTAGGACCCCTACACCTTGCTGATCCCCTAGACCCTAAAACAAGGCCTAAAACCCCCAAACGCCCCCAAATCCCATACCCTCAACCCTAACCCCAAAGCGCAAAACCCTAAACCCTAAGCCTAAACCCTAAACCCTAAACCCTAAACCCTAAACCCTAAACCCTAAACCCTAAACCCTAAACCCTAAACCCTAAACCCTAAACCCTAAACCCTAAACCCTAAACCCTAAACCCTAAACCCTAAACCCTAAACCCTAAACCCTAAACCCTAAACCCTAAACCCTAAACCCTAAACCCTAAACCCTAAACCCTAAACCCTAAACCCTAAACCCTAAACCCTAAACCCTAAACCCTAAACCCTAAACCCTAAACCCTAAACCCTAAACCCCAAACCCTAAACCCCAAACCCTAAACCTAAAACCCTAAACAATCGCAAGGTAGCGCATCCATGGCGCATGCCTTCAGTCTGGGCGTGGGTGCGGCCACGGCAGTGGCGTTGTGCCTGGGCGTTGAGAATGGCTCGGGGCTTGGAGTGTAGGATAGTTTAGGGTTTAGGGTTTAGGGTTTAGGGTTTAGGGTTTAGGGTTTAGGGTTTAGGGTTTAGGGATAGGGGTTTCAGGAGGGGTTAGGGTGTTTCGGGGGGCTGAGTGATTGAGCAGGATTTAGGCTGTGGGGGGTCTTCTTCACAATCTTCAGGAGGTTTGGGAAATTGTGGGGCTGAGGGTTGAGGGTTTGGTGAGGATTTAGGATCTAGAAGCTTGGTTTTCGAACCTGTGCTATCGTTTGGTTATCCGTAGAGATTGCGGGCCATGTGTATGCGCACCAGGAAAAACTGCTGGAAACCTTAAATCGAAAGTCCCACGGCGGAGCATGCATTCCTGACTTCCCACGCCAGAGAAAGCATGATACTTGGGGGGTAGATCGAAATTCTAGGCACTCTCGGTGCCGTAGACAAGCCCTGAAGCTGAAATTCCTAATCCTTCCCCCCCCCCCCCCCCCCCCCCCCCCCCCAAAAAAAAAGAAGAAATCCTACCCCACAACTTCCCAACACCTCACCTTAAAAGCCCTAACTTGGAGGTTCAGGGTACTTATAGCCCCAATCATAACTGCACTTGCAAGCCCCCTAAGTCCCCTACGTGGCAATGAACCCCCCAACTCAACCCTTAGACTCCCCTAAGCCCTAAACCCTAAGCCTTAAACCCTAAACCCTAAACCCTAAACCCTAAGCCCTAAGCCCTCGGAGGAATACTCTCTACATGCCCATGTGCGCGTTCGTGACTGGGGCCGCACTGGGGTTCGGTTGGGTTGGGAGCCAGAAGTTTTAGGAGGTGTAGGGTGCTTGGGGTGTTTAGGCTGTTTAGGGTGGGAGTAAGTCAAAGTTCAGGGATCAACGCAAGTTCGGATTCACTCCCTAGCGGCAGGGAAGTGCCACCTAACCCCCCGGCTCCTAAACCCCGTAACAGACCAAGGTCCCTTATCAGTCCGAATCAAGGTGCAGCGCGGGCGGTGCCATCATCGTCGCCCGGGGTTGCTTCTGACCCTCTGAGACACCGCGACCTCGAGGAGTCTGACGACTCATCTGAAGTCCTGGTTGTGGTAGAGGACAGCGAGCCGCTGTCTGCTTCTCCTGCTCTTCCTCCTCGGTCAGTCGAACCTCCGCATCCACCTCCGGCACGGGCGCCAGAGTCTGACCTAATTGTATACCGGCCTAAGTCCAAGGCGCGACTTCACTCTGTTTCGTCTGCCCCATCGCGTGAGCGTCACACAGATACAGTGTAGGGTGTGTAGGGTGTGTAGGGTGTTTAGGGGGTTTAGGGTTTAGGGTTTACCGTTTAGGGTTTAAGGTCTAGGGTGTGGGGGGTGTAGAGGGATATTTAGGGGGTCTAAGCGTTGGTTGAATGAGGGACTTGGGGTTTGGGGCTGCACAGGCTTTCGGGCCTCAGGTTTTTGAAAGATGTGGGGCTGCAGGGCTTGTGTAAGGTTAAGGTTTCGGGTTTAGGGCTTTGGGTTTAGGGTTTAGGGCTTCGGGTTTAGGGTTTTGGGGTTTCGGGTCTAGGATTTAGGGTTTAGGGATTTGGGGCTGCAGGGCCTCTTAAACTAGGACTTCCCGTGTGGCACTGTTGTTTCGATTGTTTCCCTAAACCCTGACCCTAAATCGTAAGCCCTAAGCCCTAAGCCCTAAACCCTAAACCCTAAACCCTAAATCCTAAGCCCTAAACCCTAAACCCAAAACCCTAAACCCTAAACCCTGCAAACGGCAAAAGTACTTGTTTGGAGCCCTCAAGCCGCCTAAAAAACGTAAGCCCCAAACCCTAAACCCTAAACCCTAAACCCTAAACCCTAAACCCTAAACCCTAAACCCTAAACCCTAAACCCTAAACCCTAAACCCTAAACCCGCAAGCCCCAAGCCCTGAAAGCTCAAGCCGAGGTCAGCAGGTGGATGTTCCGACGCGCCATGCCGGTGTTTGAGGGGTTGAGGGGTTCAGGGGTTCAGGGCTTCAGGGGTTCAGGGGTTCAGAGGTTTAGCAGGGGCTTAAGGGCTTAAACCCTAAACCCTAAACCCTAAACCCTAAACCCTAAACCCTAAACCCTGATCCCTAAACCCTAAACCCTAAACCCTAAACCCTAAACCCTAAACCCTAAACCCTAAACCCTAAACCCTAAACCCTAAACCCTAAACCCTAAACCCTAAACCCTAAACCCCTAAACCCCTAAACCCCTAAACCGTTCAGGGTTGAGACTTTGGCTTGCTTGGGGGTTTGGGAGTTTTTGGCGGCCCATGGGTTTTGGGAGCTCGCGCAACCTAAACCCCTCACCCTAAACCCTACACCCTCAACCCTAAACCCTAAACCCTAAACCCTAAACCCCAAACCCTAAACCCTAAACCCTAAGCCCTCAGCCCTGAACCTCAAACCTAAACCCTGGAGGGTCGAAGTGCTTTAGAGTTTGGGCCTGTAAGGTTTTAGGTTTGAGGGTTTGGGTGCTTGGGGTTGGGGGGGCCTTCAGGGCCCCAAGCTGTTGGAGTTGAATGCTCTTGTGGCAAGGAATTTGGGCCTTTCCGCACTATGCAGGGATCCGTCTTGGTAAGTCTTGTGGCCCTAAACTCTAAACCCTAAACCCTAAACCCTAAACTCTAAACCTTCACCAAGGTGCATATGGCTGGCTGGAGATCCATGCCCTAGCCGCCTTGGATGAGCTTGTGGGCTGTTTCTTGGGATGTTCCCCGTTATACTAACTGTAGGGTTTGGATTTAGGATTTAGATGATTTAGGGTTAGGGTTTAGGGTTATAATCCCTACTGTTAAGGGCCGCCAGTAAGTGTCGAGTTCGGGGGGGGGGGGGGGGGGGGGGGGGGGGGGGGGGGGGTGGCAGGAGTGGGGACGTACAATGTTTACTATTTGGGTTTAGCGTTGAGGGTTTAGGGGTTAGGGTTTGGGGTTTCGGGTTTCGGATATGTGTGTGGAGTTTTTCGTTTGTGGCAAGTCGGCGCATGTTCTGGGGATATCGGGATGTGGGGGTAGTATGATTTGGATCCGGAACTGCCGAAAGCTACAAATCCTCCCCCAAGCCACCTCCCCCAAAATGAGAGAGCAGGTCAGAATTGCGGCATTCCGACTAAATACCCACCGACTTCTTGGGGTTCCCTTTTTGTTTCTGGCGTTCCCTTCAACACTCAACCCTAACCCTGAAGCCTAAACCCTAATCCCGGCCCCAAGCCCTGAACCCTGAACCCTAGGCCCGAAACCCTAAACCCTAAACCCTAAACCCTAAGCCCTAAGCCCTAAACCCTAAGCCCTAAACCCTAAACCCCAAACCCTAAGCCCTATTCCTTGAGGGCCCTGGTACACTTAACACCCTGCTGACATTTAGCTCCCTGACCCTAAACCCTAAACCCTAAGCCCTAAGCCCTAAACCCTAAACCCTGATACACTTTAAGGCCCTGCTGACATTTAGCTCCCTGACCTTCTGCGAGCTCCGGAGCCGCGTCATCGGGCTGCCGCTCGGCGGGGGGTTTGGGTTTTTGAGGGTTTTATAGGACCTTTCTGGTAGGGTTTAGGGTTTAGGGTTTAGGGTTTAGGGTTTAGGGTTTAGGGTTTAGGGTTTAGGGTTTAGGGTTTAGGGTTTAGGGTTTAGGGTTTAGGGTTTAGGGTTTAGGGTTTAGGGTTTAGGGTTTAGGGGCTTACCAGGGTTTGGAGAGTTTGGGGTTTGGGTGTAAGGTTTAGGGTTCGGGCTCCGGTGGGCTGAATGCTTTTTGGGTTTGGGGCTTAGGGCTTAGGGCTTAGGGCTTAGGGTTTAGGGCTTAGGGTTTAGGGTTAGGGTTTAGGGTTAAGGGTTAAGGGTTAAGGGTTAAGGGTTTAGGGTTTAGGGTTTAGGGTTTAGGGTTTAGGGTTTAGGGTTGAGGGTTTCAATTTCCAGGCTCAAGCCAGAACTGCCAAGGCTGATGGCCCGTTTCATTCGGGGCTTAACCCTACCCTTGGGATGACCCTTGTACTCACAGTCCTCTAGAGGGACTAGAATAGGGGGTACTAGAATCCCTGTTTAGGACTGTCAGGAAAAGGGGTACTATAATCCCTTAGGACGGTAGTATAAGGGGGAACATCCCAAAGCCTAACCCCTAAAGTCGTAGACGTTCTCGCTGATACCCTTGTTACCCCGAAAGCCCTGGAGACCCACCCCAGGCCGTTCACTACACTCGTGGATTGTTGATGGCTTGCACCCTTAAGCCCTAACCCCTAAACATGTACCCCCTAAGTCCCGAAACCCCCAAGCCCCTAAACCCATACCCGAAACCCTAAACTTTTAAACCCTAAACCCGAAACCCTAAACCCCAAACCCCAAACCCCAAACCCCAAACCCCAAACCCCAAACCCCAAACCCTAAACCCTAAACCCTAAACCCTAAACCCTAAACCTCAAACCCAACAACGAGTCCGTGAAAGCAAGGCGGAGTGGCATCCAGGGTGCGACCTTCGTCATCCTTTCTGGAATCTTCGCTTGCCTTGCCTGCCTTCTGGCCGAGCCTCAGAAGAAAATCACGCGCTTCCCTAAGCTTCGGGTTTGGGGTGTAGGGTGTAGAGTTTAGGGTTTTGGGTTTAGGGTTGGGGGTTTAGGGTTTAGGTTTTGGGGCTGCCCTATAAGCCTGAGTAGAATCCGGAAGCCTCAAGACCTTCAAGCTCCAGGAGCCCTTTAGAGGCTTGAAAGACCCTAGCCAGCTAAACGCCCGATGGGGATCTTGAATCCAAGGGTAGTTACATGGTCCCGGAGTATGGGCTCTTAAATGGGGACCCCTTATATAACCCTTACATGCCTTAAAAAAAACCAAAAGACACCAGGGCCCATACTTCAGAACCTGTTAAAGAAGGTAAGAGACCATACTAAGGGGCCATGTAACTACTCTTAGATTGACCTAAACCCTGCAAGTCACCCCAAGAAGTCGCACAACCCTGAACCCTTAGCCCTGAAAGGGTTTCGGGTTTAGGGGCAGGCCGGAGAGTCCCTATGATAGATGGGAAGACCCCCACCAAGACAGCTATAGACCACTGTAAGGCCAAAGCGCACCAGGCGTACATGAGTCTGCAAACCCTGATGGTGAAGTCGACTACCTTGCAGGGTAAATTCAGTTGTTTCAGACCACGATCGTTCCAAGCCTTTTGTACGGAGTAGATACGCATACCATGGAAATCAAGCACCTGAAGACCATAGACGCTCGGTATGTTGAGTGCCGAAGAAGAGCCATGGGAATAAAAGCCTCATACTAACACGCAACCAGCACAGATGTCTGGGAGTTAGCAGGCAAACCCATCCTCCCGTCCCCGACCCACACTTCACAGTTCACCCAACTGGCCATTCCTACACCGCCGGACGGCCCTATGCAGAACGTAGTCTTGTCTCTTGGATAGAATCTAAGGGTAGATATGTGGCCTAATATTTTCCCTTACCTCCTTTTACTACTACTTGCTCAAGAACCCCACAAGAAGAAGCAATAAAAACCCCTATAGTACCCTTAATCAGGAAGAATACTTTTTCTTGGGGGTTCCTAAGCAACTAGTAGTTTAAGAAGCAATTAGTAGTTTGAGGGTTCTGAAGTTTGGGTCTCTTAAGCAATTAGTAGTTTAGGGGTTCTGAAGTTTGGGCCCCTGGGTTGCTTCGGGAAGAGAAGGGGGGGTATCAAAGGGGTCCGGGCCCAGACAAAGGGACCATGTAACCGTATGTAACTACCCTAAGAGAAAAGAATAGGGTTTAAGAGTAGGGTTTAGGGTTTAGGGTTTAGGGTTTAGGGTTTAGGGTTTAGGGTTTAGGGTTTAGGGTTTAGGGTTTAGGGTTCAGGGTTCAGGGTTTAGGGTTTAGGGTTTAGGGTTCGTCGCCCACAAAGGTACTGGCTTGGAGTGAATGATGAGTTTATGTATTGCCCCATCTCAGCCCACCACCTGGACGACACCCCTCCCTAAACCCTAAACCCTAAACCCTCAACCCTAAACCCTCAACCCTAAGCCCTAAGCCCTAAACCCTAAACCCTAAACCCTAAACCCTAAACCCCAAACCCTAAACCCTAAACCCTACACCCTAAACCCAAAACCCTAAACATGCCCACTGACGACAGCAGTAGGAAGCTTCTAAGTGGGGGTCCTCTCAGACTCCTAGAGGCCCTTCATCGCCTTGAATTGAAAAACGGCCCACCCTAAACACTAAACCCTAAACCCTAAGCCCTCAACCCTAAACCCTGAATTCAAACCCTAAACCCTATACCCACAAAACTCCAGCGTGCAGGGGTTTGGGGTTTAAAACCCCAAGAGCCTGTGCTGAGGGTTGATACTAATTTCGGTCATAAACCCAAGGAGCGAATCTTCAAGCAGCGTCACGCCCAGCGCGAGGAAGTGGAGCGGTATTGTGCGGGCGTCTCAGGGAAGGGTCTAGGTGCTTAGATTTGTGTTAATGGTCCTTCGGGTTTAGGGTTCTTCGGGTTTTGCAGGGTTTTTTGGGGGGGTTCAGGGATTAAGGCTTTAGGGTGTTGAGTGGGGCCTTGGGCTTCGAGGGCTTCGAGGGCTTCGGGCTTATTAGGGCCACGAGAGTTTTGACTGATGCAGGCCTTTGTCGATGCACTTAGGGTTTAGGGATTAGGGTTTACGGTTGAGGGTTTAGATTTTAGGGTTTGGCGACTGTGGCCTTTTTCTGTGTTGCAAGTGCTGCAAGCATGTCTGAGTTGTTCCTCTTTTGTTGCGTTTTTTTGGATACCACGACATCACAGGTCTCATGCAGTTTCCGGTTCTTCTTTCAGTTAGATGTAGACTTACTAATGAATCAGTACATCGGTCGCTCCACAAAGTGGAGTTGGCAACTGGGTTCGCCCTAAACCCTAAACCCTAAACCCTAAGCCCTAAACCCTAAACCCTAAACTCTAAACCCGAAACCCTAAACCCTAAATCCTACACCCTCAACCCTAAACCTGGCCTAACAGTGGCACCTCACGACCACACTTAGAGGTTCAGGGTGCTTAAAACCCCAATTGTAACTGTACTTATAAGCCCCCTAAGTCCCCTAAGTAGGTTATACGTAGATTTATAATTGTGGTTATAAGTACCCATGCACCTCCAAGCACACCCTTTCCCCAACAGGGGTACCTTTAAGACTCAAGATGTACCCAAGCAGTTGCCACAAAGGGTACCCCTACTTAAGGCCTGTTACAGCCTGTGAAGGGCCCAGCCTGTGAAGGGGCCTAAACCCTAAACCCTGAACCAAGAGTCACCCCTAAACCCTGAACCCTAAACCCTAAACCCTAAACCCTAAACCCTAAACCCTAAACCCTAAACCCTAAACCCTAAACCCTAAACCCTAAACCCTAAACCCTAAACCCTGAACCCTGAACCCTGAACCCTAAACCCTAAACCCGTAAACGAGTACGACAACAAGGTGGAGATGAGCACCATCATCAACAACCTCACCACCAGGCTTGTCCTCCACATGATTTCGAACGGGATGTTCTCCATCATCTTCGACAGGGAGGTCGTCGATATGAAGACCTTTGAAGGACTAGAGCTTCTGGGACATTACATTGATGCTGTCGAGGGCTTGCCGGCATTGGTGAACACCACAAAGACGTTGTTGGCGGCCTCGGAGTACGGGGTCAGCGTCGATATCGACGAGATGTTGTTGAACAACAGCCGCGTCGACTGCTACGGGGGCATCCACTCTGACAGGTACGGGATCATGATGGACGAGAAGATGCTCAACGAGATATTCAACCTAAACCCTAAACCCTAAACCCCAGGCCCTAAACCCTAAGCCCAAAGAACTACGCCCTAACCCTAAACCAAGAGTCACCCCTGCTCTGGAAACCCTCAATCCTGGCCCTTTCTAGCCAAGGCTGGCAGTGAAGTCTTGGGCCTCATAGTGTCCCAGATAAGGGCTTAGGGTTAAGGGTTTAGGGTTTAGGGTTTAGGGTTTAGGGTTTAGGGTTTAGGGTTTAGGGTTAGAGGGTTTCGATGAAATCATCCGACAACCAGGTTCTTGATCAGCACCCTGAAAAAACACCAGCGAGCCCTAGCCCCCAAACTCCGAAGAGGTCTTTAAGAGCCACTTGACTGGAGTTTAGGCGTAAACCCTAAAAGGAAAAGGTTTGGGTGGCTTTGTCGCCTTGGACGGCGTGGGATTTAAGAAATACAAGTTGTTAGATGGCCCTCCGCGAACCCTAAACCCTAAACCCTAAACCCTAAACCCTAAACCCTAAACCCTAAAGCCTAAACCCTAAACCCTAAACCCTAAACCCTAAACCCTAAACCCTAAACCCTAAACCCTAAACCTAAACCCTAAACCCTAAACCCTAAACCCTAAACCCTAAACCCTAAACCCTAAACCCTAAACCCTAAACCCTAAACGCTAAACCCTAAACGCCGAATGATTCAATTCTGAGGTGCAAAAGGCACGCTTTGACTTTTGGGGCCTCCTCACTTCGGCCCTGATTCTGTCTCTCGACAGCAGAAGAGGACGTAATTTTCAGGGGTTAGAGGTTGAGGGGGTTTTGCCCTAAACCCGAAACCCGAAACCCGAAACCCGAAACCCGAAACCCGAAACCCTAAACCCTAAACCCTAAACCCTAAACCCTAAAGCCTAAACCCTAAACCCTGAACCCTGAACCCTAAAACCCTAGACCCCTTCAGAGAGCGATATGTGCAGGGGCAGAGGCAGAGGCTGCAAGGCATCAGGCACCAGGATCAGCTCTGAGGTTCCCTTTGCGAGCAGAGCTCTTTGTGGGTTTAGGGTTTAGGGTTTAGGGTTTAGGGTTTAGGGTTTAGGGTTTAGGGTTTAGGGTTTAGAGTTAGGGTTTAGGGCTTCGGGACGCATTGTGGGTTTCTTGGGTCGTTAGTTGGGGAAAGGGTGAGCTGCCCCGCAACCCCTACACCCTAAGTTTGCTGGAGAACTTCACCCTACATGGTGTTTCATGTAAAGTTGTGGCTCCTTTTGTGGACCTTCTTGGGGTCATCATAGCGTATTGCGCCTCACCCAAAACCCTAAACCCCAAGTCCTTTGCGTGGAGGGCTACTGACTGGGACCATCATCCCGCGACGTCGTTAAGTCCAAGCCCGAAGCCGGTTTCGGGTTTAGGGTTTAGGTTTGGGGTTTGGGGTTTAGGGTTTCTGGGTTGAAGGTTTGGGGTTTAGGGCTTAGGGTTTCGGATGTAAAGTTTAGGGTTTAGCGCTTAGGGGTGCTGTTGCCTTCAGTCCATTGGTCACAAAGGTTTGCGATGCTCTGGGTGACTAAGGTTGGGAGGATGGACTGGCAACCCTAAGCCAAGCCGTAAACCCTAAACCCTAGCCCTAAACCCTAAACCCTAAACCCTAAACTCTATACCCTAAACCCTAAACCCTAAACCCTGAACCCTAAACCCAATAAACCCTAAACCCACAACCCTAAACCCACAACCCTAAACCCACAACCCTAAACCCTAAACCCTAAACCCTAAACCCTAAACCCTAAACCCTAAACCCTAAACCCTAAACCGTGGATCCTTTTGGCCACCTAGGTTTTACCTCGGCGAGCACGGGCACCCAGACACAGTCATGTCTGCAAAGCTGTTCGGCGCATCTGAAGTTTGGATCGAGGTGGGGTTCCGTGACAAATCCTAAGGCCTCAGCCCTAAGCCCTCAGCCCTAAGCCCTAAACCCTAAACCCTGAGCCCTAAGCGCTAAGCGCTAAGCCCTAAGCCCTAAACCCTAAGCCCACGTCGGAAATTCCTGTCGTGGCAAGTTAGGGCTCAGGGTTTAGGGTTTAGGATTTAGGGCTCAAGCTGGTTCGATGATGATGAGCTCACTGTCGGTGAATCAGGCAACAGGACTTTTGAAGAAGTGGCTCAAAGGTTGCACAACTTCCAGGCCAAGGGGACAGGTGGTCCAACGTCTGTGTGGACCATTCTGGGTTTGAGAAGTCAACCCACCAGACCTCGCATGTCAGTTTTTGGAGCAATGGAAAGCTGCTGAAGAGTCAGTGTTTGGAAGCACCATGCATCCGGATCGGAAGGAAGTTTCTGACCATGTTGCACAGCGTGTCAAGAACCAAGTGCTTGTGCTGTTTGAATTCTCGATATCGACAGCACCCTCTCCTGTGCAGCTACCTTTAACCCCTAAACCCCAAGCCCTAAGCCCTAAACCCTAAACCTTAACCCTAAACCCTAAGCCCTAAAGCCTAAAACGCAGGGTTTGGGGTGGGAGGGTGGGGGAACCAAAACTGGGCACTTGGGTTTCGATTTACAGGACCCTTAGGCCTCCCAGCACCTCTAAAAGCCTTGGGGCCGACGACGGAGACTCTAAGCCCTAAACCCAAAACCCAAAACCCAAAACCCAAAACCCAAAACCCAAAACCCTAAACCCCAAACACTCGACCCTAAACCCTAGACCCGAAACCCTAAGCCCTAAACCCTAAACGCCAGAATCCCTAAACCCTGACCCCTAAACCCAAAAATGGGACCTGGCTGGCCCTTCGGCCCTTCGGGGCCCCCTGATGGAAGCCTGAGTTCTTGATCTCAAACAACGATTTCCAGAAGACCAGAGGGGCTCAGGGTTTGGGGTTAGGGTTTAGGGTTTAGGGTTTAGGGTTTGGGGTTTAGGGCTTAGGGCTTAGGTTTTAGGGTTTAGGGTTTGGGGATTAGTTTTTAGGGTTTAGCGTTGAGGGTTCAGAGTTTAGGGTGTCGGGTTCAGGGTTCAGGGTTCAGGGTTTAGGGACCAACAGCTTGGCTTTGATGTTGTTGAGCATCTATGCCTGTTCCGCGACAGGCCGGGGCACAAGCTTGAAGCCAAGACATGAGGGGCCCCCACCCCCCAATCCGAAGGCACCAGCCTCCATGGACCCTAAACCTTGAAGCCCTAAACCCTAAACCCCAAACCCTAAGCCCAAAACCCTAAACCCGATCTCTCAATCTAAGTTACCTCATTGGAGATCAAGCTGCAAACTTCATACACTTTCCCCCCCCCCCCCCCCCCCCCAAAACCCGCCGAACGTCCCTGAAACCCAAGCCCCGCAACACCATTCCCGTTTCGAAATCAAGGCCGCCCTCGCCACAGCTGTACAGGGATTGGCACTATATCCAGGCAGGGCTCGTACCTGAACCCGAGAACCAAAGCCCCGACTTGGCCAGAAACCTTCTAAACCCTGAACCACAAACCTTCAGGTTCCGCATATGGCTTTTCCCCGAAGCAGGGCTGCCTCTTATATTCCCCGAAAGAGTATAATCGGAACACCCAAATCGGGGACCCCGATTTTCGGAAGCCCCCTAAACCCTAAACCCTAAACCCTAAACCCTAAACCCTAAACCCTAAACCCTAAACCCTAAACCCTAAACCCTAAACCCTAAACCCTAAACCCTAAACCCTAAACCCTAAACCCTAAACCCCAAACCCTAAACCCTAAACCCTAAACCCTAAACCCTATTCTGGGGTTTGGACGGTAGCGACCCCCAAGCCCGAGCCTCTCCCGCCCAAGCTCCATGCGCCCTTCGGAAGTTTAGCATTCATGTGGCTTAGGGTTCAGGGTTTAGGGTTTAGGAATTAGGGTTTAGGGTTTAGGAATTAGGGTTTAGGGTTGGGTTTAAGGGTTCGGGGTTGTGGGTTTAGAGTCGACGGTTTGAGGCTTGTTTGGGTAAGTTGCCCAGCGCGCAGGTGTCACAAACCTTCTACTCCTCTCTGGACATCCCTGGGCCCGTAAATCCTACACCCTGCAAGCCAGCGACTTGAACATTCAACCTTGCGCCCTCAACCGTAGAAGCTCTACCCCAAACTCTACAAGCCCTGAACCCTGGAGCCTACACCCCATGGACCCGAGCCCTTAGCATCATGAACCCTTCAGCCCTATACCCTAAATCCCCTAAACTCTAAACTCTACACTCTAAACCCTAAACCCCAAACCCCAAACCCCAAACCCTAAACCCTAAACCCTAAACCCTAAACCGTAAACCCTAAACCCCAAACCCTAAACCCTAAACCCTAAACCCCATCCGCGACCCTGTGAAGGTTGGGGCGGTTCTCCTGCGCGTGGTTCAGACCCTGATGGGCTGCCACGGTCCTAACGTTCCCAGGGTTTAGGGTTTAGGGTTTAGGGTTAGGGTTTAGGGTTTAGGGTTTAGGGTTTAGGGTTTAGGGTTTAGGGTTTAGGGTTTAGGGTTTAGGGTTTAGGGTTTAGGGTTTAGGGTTTAGGGTTTAGGGTTTAGGGTTTTGGGTACCCAATGGTGTAGGGTGTAGGGTTTAGGGTTTAGGGTTTGGGTGTCAGTTCGGCAAATCTGGCTTCATTTCCTGGTTCTTAGAAGGGTACCGATTTCTGTTCAACGGCTGAACGGTAAAAACGTTTGGGTTTGGGGTTTGGGGCATACCTTACTGAAACCATACATCGGGCAGGAAGCTCCTTCGTTCAGGACGGCTCTTTCGTCCAAGGGTGGGAAGTTCAGGGGGCGCAAGAGGAACTGATGGCTTCATTATTTCATCACGCTCATCCAAGCATTGGAGACCCTTATGGCTTCAGACCTCGACGGCTTGGAGGACCTGATGACCTTTATCGAGGAGAGTATCTCGAACACCTCCGAGGATGGTGTGAGGCCCAACGAGTTTCTGGTGAGCCACATCGGTTTAGGGTTTAGGGCTAGGGTTTAGGGTTTAGGGTTTAGGGTTTAGGGTTTAGGGTTCAGGGTTTAGGGTTTAGGGTTTAGGGTTTAGGGTTTAGGGTTTAGGTTTAGGGTTTAGGGTTTAGGGATCGCCTCGAGCTTGCCGGACTTGGCTAGCATGCTTCTGATGAAGCACCGGAAACGTTGGAAATTTGAACAGGGGGTGCATTTCATTCTGCTTCCGATTATTGTTTGGGAGCCTCCCCATCCCAGCTGGAAATCATGATGGAAGGGGGATCCATGTCACCATTTAAATTGCGAGTCCCCCCCCCGCACCCCTCCAATTCCCACCTCCCGAAATTCCCACCTCCCGAAGCAAAAGAGTTTTCATGCACCCCTCCGCTCAAGGGTTTAGGGTCTCAAGGGTTTAGGGTCTCAGGGGTTGAGGGTCTCAAGGGTTGAGGGTCTCATGGGTTGAGGGTCTCAAGGGTGAGTGAACTTCGTAATTTCTTAATGCTATGGGATTCTTTGGGCGGGTTGGTTTTTTGCTCGAGAATTACTTGACCAGAGAAAGCTAGAACATGAGATGCTGAAGCCTAAACCCTAAACCCTAACCTAAACCCCCTTCAACCCTAAACCCTAAACCCTAAGCATTAAGCCCTAAACACCATAGCCCAAACCCTAAACCCGAAACCCTAAACCCCAAGCCCTAAAACCTAAACCCTAAACCCTAAACCCTAAACCCTAAACCCGAAACCCGAAACCCTAAACCCGAAACCCTAAACCCTAAACCCTAAACCCGAAACCCGAAACCCCTGCACCGGGGCGCGCCCGAGGCCTCTTGGTGAAGCACTGGTCCACGGTCGCCAAAGCCGCGCCCTGGCCCGACTCAACAAGGTGTTGGCCGTTTGGGTTTAGGCTTCTATTATTATTATTATTATTATTATTATTATTATTATTATATTATTTTTGTTTTTAAAAGGGCTTTTGGGGTCTTTGGGGTTGTTAGGGTTTGTTTCGGGTTTTTATGATTTTTTGGGGTTTCAGGGTTTTGGAGGGGTTCAGGGGTTTTCGGATTTTGTGAAACAAGCTGCGGCATGGGTGTGGGCTTTAATGATGCGCTCTTTTTGGATCTCAATGACATGCGTTGTTTTCTATTTTAAGGGTGTCCGTACTCTAGATCATTCCTCATATAATCCACGTACACCACAGCCCTCAGCAGTAGATTCCTTGTCTCTTGAGGGGAAAACAGTTAGACCGAACCTGACTTTCCTCTCCCAGTTTCCTTTTTCGCTACAGGACATCCGCACAATGTACTGAAGAACCAAGACCCCAACCTCCCAAACCCTAAACCCCAGACACAGAACCCTAACCCTAAACCCTAAACCCTAAACCCTAAACCCTAAACCCAAAACTCTAAACCCTAAACCCTAAACCCTAAACCCCAAACACCGAACCCTAACCCCCCCCCGAAAAGTCCCCTCAGCAGGTGCTCCAGTGCTTGTCGATGCTCCTCGTTTTCTTTTTTGGCGACGTGGCCTTCCTGAACCGCGGCCAGGGTAACCTGTGCCCCTTGGGCCCGCAAGATGGAGTGCAGTGGTCCGGGCTGTGATCTAGGGTTAAGGGTTAAGGGTTTGGGGTTTAGGGTTTGGGGTTTGGGGTTTAAGGTTTAGGGTTTGGGGTTTGGGGTGTAGGGTTGGGGGCAGTATTGGGGGGTTTTGGGTGCCGTCACTTTAGGGCGAGGGTTGGAGAGCTTTCTGGAGCATGTGTGCTCTACCCTTGAGTGTGTCGACTGCTGGGACCATGAGATCCCCTGCTACCTCCCTCACTCGCTTCCTTGCCCATTCCTTGTCTAAGGAAGTTCTAGGAACCATGAAGGGTTCTGAGGGGTTAAACCTTGTCTCACCGAAAACCGGTTGTTCTAGCAAGAACTCTTCTTCCCGGCATCACGTTGGACGGAAAAGGCGTGAAGGGCAGCTTGTGGGGGGTCCTGATTAGAAGGGATCCTACCATTTGGGGGTCTATGTTGGGGGTTCCCTTATGTTCGTAAACTTCCAGATTTCAACCTAAGGGCCCTCGGTATAGTTTCCCCAGTGCGAAAGCAACTAGAATCCCTGCAGCTCCAATTGGGTTGTAGAGCTCTTCCGAGCTCCAGCTCTCAGCTTAGCTTGATCGTTTGGGAACTCGAAGTCCCACCTTTACTCGAAGCTACGCCCAAACCTTGAGACCGAAGTTTACTGGCTGGTTCTTAGTAGGGAATAGGGGAGTGAGGTACGTACCTAAGTTCAGTTTTAGGGGAGGGTTTGGGGGTTCAACCCTAAACCCTAATTAAAGCCTGAGCCTAGAGCCCTAAGCCCTCCGTGGCTTGGGATAAGGGTTTGGGGTTTAGGGTTTAGGGATTAGGGTTTAGGGTCTTCCCTCCAACGCTGCCGAAGGTATATACATGCTTGCCTTGCTGGTGTCGCTGGCGGCGTTCATGCACCTTCGCCGAACTCCAAAAGCTATAGCTGTCTCTCGAGCCTCAACTCTGAATTCCTAAGACCCTATCAGAGCAATCCCCTAGGACCCCAAAAAATGCTGTCAGATCTTTTAAGTCCCTTAAGGACCCAAACGTCTGTAAGACCCGAGTGGAGGGTTCACGGCTGACGGATTTGGGGTTCGGACTGTTGCGAAGTTGCTCAAGACGCATAGGCGGTTCGGAGGGTCTTATGCGCGAAGGAAGAGACACCCTTTAAACCCTAAACCCTAGACCCTATACCCTAAACCCAAAACCCTAAACCCCAAACCCCAAACCCTAAACCCTAAACCCCCTACAGCAAAGTGCAAGGTACCAGCTGGGACGCCGGCAGACAGCGCACCTCCTCCAGGCTTGGTTCTCAGGGCGGCGAAAGTTACCACAAATGGGGGTTTCCGAAAATGGGGGTTTAGGGTTTAGGGTTTAGGGTTTGGGGTTTAGGGTTTAGGGTTTAGGGTAATGATGATTTAGTAGTTGGGGGTATATTAGGGGTCCCCCTATCTTGGGAACCCCCACATGATGCCCCTAAACCTTTCAGACGAAGCCCAGAACCCCCCACCCCCTCAACACCCTAAACCCTAACCAACCTTTTTGAAATTATAGGTACTTGTTGGGTTCCGGTATTGGAAGGGAATTCGGCGGGTCTATACTCGGGGGTCCCTTATATTCGTAAGCTCCCATGTAAGGCTTAGTCGCTATAGTCACTATAGTCTCTGGATTCCCATATGGAGTGAAAGGTCCAAGCATGCTTCGTGGGAATGTGAGGGTCAGGGCTCGGTAAAAACTGTGGTACATTCCCGGTAGGGTACATTCCTTGAAATGTTCCCCCTTATACGAAGAGTCCTGAAGAAGTCAGGATGACAGTACCCCCCCTCTTATCATCCCCAGAAAGGACTGTTAGTAGAAGGGGGAACATCCCATTACATTCCCATTAGGGTTCAGGGTTCGATAGAGTTCGATGTCCAAGCAGAGAAAACGATGCTTCAGGGATCGGCCATTGACGATCATCACTAGGTTGACGGAATTGACCAGCCGAAGCATGCACCGCGAAGCTTGGCCAACCCTGCGTGCTACCCCTGAGGAGCCGAAAACTTGTTAAGTTTCCACAAGAACGAAGCTTTCTTCATTGGGAAAACCCTAAGCCCGCATCCCCGAACCGTAACCTTACAGAAAGTTCCCCAGCGGAAGCCCAGCCCTGAAGAGCGAGACGTCCCACACAGCAACCCCTAAACCCTAAGCCTTAAACCCTAAACCCTAAACCCCAAACCTGAACCCCAAACCCGAACCCCAAACCCTGAATCTCAAACCGTCCGAGCCCACGAAAACGCAGATAGTCTAAGCCCGAGAACATGGAGGAGAAGGCTGGCGTGCACCGGCTGACAGTACAAGCACAGTCGTCCCTGATGGGCATCTTTGAAGTGCGGTGCGGCTACACCGAGAAATGGACACACTGGGCCTCCAGCACCCTGTGCAAGTTCCAGCTGACCAGAAGCGCTTCCCCCTAAACCATTCAAGCTTCAGCGCTCATCCCGAAGTGTCCTTGAACCCCGAAGCAGCCCTGAATTAGGGTTTTGGGTTGCGGGTTTAGGGTTTAGGGTTTGGGGTTTAGGGTTTAGGTCTAAACCCATGGCTTTAAATCCAGACCCTAAGCTCCCCAAACCCGAAACCCTACACCCCTAGACAAAGTGACCCTGATTCCGACATGGAGGTTCAGGCTGCTTCTAAGCCCAACTCAGTCAGAAGCCCTCTAAGTTCCCTAAGTAGGTTACAAGCACTCACGAACCTTGGTCCAAGTACTTCAAACCCCAGTTGTGACTGTACTGATAAGTCCGCGAAGTCCCCTAAGTAGGTTCTAAGTACCCACAAACCTCCAAGCAAAGGACCCTAAACTCTAAACCCTCAACCCTCAACCGTCCTCAACCCTCCTCAACCCTAACCCCTAAACCCTAAACCCTAAACCCTAAACCCTAAACCCTAAACCCTAAACCCTAAACCCTAAACCCTAAACCCTAAACCCTAAACCCTAAACCCTAAACCCTAAACCCTAAACCCTCAACCCTCAACCCTCAACCCTAAACCCTAAACCCTAAACCCTAAACCCTAAACCCTAAACCCTAAACTAAAGGGCCTCAGATGCTGCCCGCAGGCGGCTTCGGAAGAGAGCGTGGCTGAGACGTGCGAATCCGAGGCTTGGGTTTAGGGTTTGGGGTTAGGTTTTAGGCTGAACCCTAAACCCTAAACCCTAAACCCTAAACCCTAAACCCTAAACCCTAAACCCCAAACCCTAAACCCCAAACCCTAAACCCCAAACCCAAAACTAAGCCTTAAACCCGAAAGGTTCAGGGTTTCGGGTTTCGGGTTGAGGTCTTGGCCGGGGTGCGCGGATGAGACCCGAGCTCCCGAGGATCCCACATCTGTTCAAACCTTTGGGGCATCTCTTTTGGTACATGGTTTTAGGGTGTTTAGGGTTTAGGGTTCAGGGTGTAGGGTTAGGTTAAGGGTCGCTGGAGAGGCCTCCTTCAGCAGCTTTCAGCGGACCTTCTCGGATCCGACGGACGGGTACACGCCAGGGTTTTCGGGGGTTCGGGGTTTAGGGTTTATGGTTGAGGGGTTTTAAAGGTTTAAGGTTTTAATTGTAGGGTTTATGGAAGGGGTTTTAGGGTTAAGGGTTTTAGGGTTTGCCAGAGGTAGAACAGACCTTAGTTTAATGAGGCAAGTTCAGCGAAACAAAGTGGGATCCCATATGTTGGGTTTGGGGTTTGGGGTTTAGGGTTTGGGGTTTAGGGTTTAGGGTTTGAGGTTTGGGGTCTGGGGGTTTGGGGCGCGTATGAATCCCCTGAGCCCTCCATGGGGTCTTGATGCTGGGGGGCCTATATGTTGAACCCTAAACCCTAAACCCTAAACCCTAAACCCTAAACCCTAAACCCTAAACCCTAAACCCTAAACCCTAAACCCTAAACCCTAAACCCTAAACCCTAAACCCTAAACCCTAAACCCTAAACCCTAAACCCTAAACCCATAACCCTAAACCCTAAACCCTAAACCCTAAACCCTAAACCCTAAACCCTAAACCCTAAACCCTAAACCCTAAACCCTAAACCCTAAACCCTAAACCCTAAACCCTAAACCCTAAACCCTAAACCCTAAACCCTAAACCCTAAGCTGTGGTGCTTGTTGATTTCAACGAAGGAGGGGTTCTAAAAAGGGCACAAGTTATACTGGCAACCACTGTCGCCGAGGCTCCTGTATCGGCGAAGGGTTTCGCTAGGCTGGCTTTTTGGGATATGTGTATGTTCCTTATTTGGGTCGATAAGGGACCCTCTCTCCCTCTCTCTCTCTCTATATAATTTTTTCCAAACGGTTTAAAGGCCAGCCAACCCAGTTAAGGTTTAGGGTTTAGGGTCTAGGGTTTCAGGACAACCGTGGTGGAAGATCGCTGTTGCAACGGCAGAGGGCGAGCACGGAAGAGGCCCTTACCCCTCAACCCTAAACTCTCAACCCTAAACCCTAAACCCTAAACCCTCAACCCTAAACCCTAAACCCTAAACCCTAAACCCTAAACCCTAAACCCTAAACCCTAACCCTAAACCCTAAACCTCCATCAGTTTCCGGATTTCTCAAGCTTGGGGCTTCGACTCTGAGGCCTAGAAACCGAACCCCCAGGCGCTCTCGCAGTTTTCCCGAAGGGTTTAGGGTTTAGGGTTTAGAGTTTAGGGTTTAGGGTTTAGGGTTTAGGTTTAGGGTTTCGGGTCCAAGTATCTTCATATAGGGACCACAAGGGAATACTATTAGTTAATTATTCCGGCCCAAAAAGTAGTGCTAGGGCCCATATTTGGGGGGACTGGGGGTGACCAAATCGCCGCCTTCCTCGAACTCCGAAGCTCTCCCAAAACCCGGTTTAGGGTTTAGGGTTTAGGGTTTAGGGTTTAGGGTTTAGGGTTCAGGGTTCAGGGTTTTGGAGGCCCCTCTGCCCTTGTCAGCTTGGAAGGAGGGAATTAGGTTGAGGGTTTCGGGCTTAGGGTTTAGGGTTGATAGAACAGGTTTTGGGCGGTTTTGGGGTGGGTTTTGGGCGGGTTTTGGGCGAAAGTTTTGGGCCGGGTTTGAGCGAGTTTGAGCGAGTTTGTTTTTGAGGGTTTAGAGTCAGCCAGAATCCTGACCCTAAACCCTAAACCCTATTGACACTTCATAAGGCCCCTATATTGCCTCAATGCGAGCCCCTCTCGGGTCCTGAGTTTAGGGGGTGGGGGGTGGCCAAAAAATCCTTGTGTTCAGGGTTTAGGGACCCTAAACTAAACTCTAAACCCTAAACCCTAAAACCTAAACCCTAAACCCTAACCTGTCAGAAAGGGACCATCGAGAATTGCCCCTTCGCCCAAGATCTTCTCGAGTCCCTTAGCCACTGCAATCCGCATCCGGGCCATCTAGCGCTGCGCGTTTTTTTTGGGTTTCGGGGTTTAGGGGTTTAGGGTTTCGGGTTTAGGGTTTAGGGGTTTAGGGCAGGACGTTTCCAAGTCTGTGATCCGCCTGCAGATGGCGCGTGAGAGAGAAGAGTAAACTACAGAGCAGAACCCCCTTCAGCACGAAGATCTGCGACAGCAGCCATGGTAGCCTGTAGGGTTACGGCTTAGGGCTTAGGGTTTGGTTTGAGGATGCTAGATGTTTTCGGAGCTCATGGTTTTGTTAAGGAAAGCCCGAAAGCCCCAAAGACCCTGCACCCTAAACTCGCCAAACCCTAAAGCCCAAAACGCCCAAAAAGGGGTTAGGGATCAGGGTTTAGGGTTTAGGGTTCAGGGTTTAGGGTTTAGGGTTAGGGTTTAGGGTTCAGGATTTAGGGTTTAGGAAGCTCAAAACCAAGCTCCACAGATCCCATAGATCCTAGATCGCGACTTCGTGTGCTTCTTCCCGGAAGGTCCAGCCCATCGACGTCCAGGTCTGCTGCCCTTCAGAGCAGCTTTGCTTGTGATTTGGTTTAGGGTTTAGGGTTTAGGGTTTAGGGTTTAGGGTTTAGGGTTTAGGGTTTAGGGTTTAGGGTTTAGGGTTTAGGGTTTAGGGTTTAGGGTTAGGGTTTAGGATTCCCCCCGCGTACCGACGTCCATGCCCCCGATCTCGTGCTGAGCCCCCCCCCCCCCCCCCCCCCCGCCCGACAATGAAGACAAGTTGAGAGCTGGTGGTCCGAACCCACGGATGCGCCGACTGGGCTGCTGTCTCGGAACTTGAAGTAAGTTACCGTAAATGTGTCGGATAGCGCTGGTTAGATAGTATGCGTATTCTGGTAACTTGACTTCAGCTCCTTAGCAAGAACCCAGCTTATGGACTGCTTCCTCGAAGGCTGCAGCACCTTCTGCACCTCACAGCACCGTTTCATCTACAAGGTGTTGCAGCAGAAGACTCGGAAACGGCGCACAGATACGGGGCAGGTTCAGGGTTTAGGGTTTAGGGTTTAGGGTTTAGGGTTTAGGGTTTAGGGTTTAGGGTTTAGGGTTTAGGGTTTAGGGTTTAGGGTTTAGGGCAGGTTTCGCCAACAACAGCGGCCACTGCATACCGAGCATTCGGTGTAACTTACGGTATAAAGCGCTGTTCATTAATGTGTCCTATTTCGAAAGTAACTCAAAAGGGGCCCCGTCCTTTGGGACCCTGAATCCACAACCCTGGACATCCCCCTAAACGCTAGACCCTACACCCTACACCCTAATCCCTAATCCCTAAACCCTAAACCCTAAACCCTAAACCCCAAACCCTAAACCCTAAACCCTAAACTCTAAACCCTAAACCCTAAACCCTAAACCCTAAACCCTAAACCCTAAACCCCTAAACCCCTAAACCCCTAAACTCTAAAGCAAGCCTCAGGTTCGCGCCGGTGAGCCCAAGTCAGCTGCTGTCACAGCGGCTGCCCCGGCTGCCAGAGGTCGACCAGCTCGAGAGCCTCAGCCGCGTTGGGTTTGGGGTTTAGGGTTTAGGGTTTAGGGTTTAGGGTTAGGGTTTGGGGTTTAGGGTTTAGGGTTTAGGGGTTTAGGGTTTAGGGTTTAGGGTTTGGGGTTTAGGGTTAAGGGGTTTGGGGTTTAGGGTTAGGGTGTTGAGGGTTAGGGTGTTTAGGTTCAGGGCAGGTGTCCAGGGTGTTCAGGGTGTTCAGGGTGTTCAAGGTGTTCAGGGTGTTCACCGTGTTCAGGGTGTTCAGGATGTTCAGGGTGTTGGGTTTAGAGAATGATTGGGGTGCAAAGTCTACGCTTCGGCGTTCAGAGTTCAGGATTTTGGTCTACAGCATATAGGGCTTGGGGCCTAAGGTTCGGGATGCGGATCTAAAGATCAAAGATCCTCAAGCTTGAGCCCCAAGCCTGATTCTTGGTAGCACTCTTTACCTTTTTTTTGGTTCTGCCAACCAAAAAAAAGGGTACCCCCCTCCCCCCCTATTAAAATATGGTTACTGGGTTACTAAGTACGAGCTCTGCAAGCCCTACAAAACGTAATCCAGGAGATTTCGGCGCCCAAGCCAAATCCTAAACTCCAAAAGTTAAGAAGGGAGTGCTAAATCGCCGGCAGCTTAGATGTTGGGGTCTAGGGTCGTTTAGGGTTTAGGGTTTAGGGTTTAGAGTTTCGACAAAATCGCAGAAGCTGGGCTTCAGTCGTTCAGAACCACAAGCGCCAGGGCCCCCACAAGCATGAGAATAGTTGAATAGCCTATAGATCCCAAACCCGAAGCTCCCAAACCCCCCCGAAATGTCGGCCCTCAGCCCTCATCCTATAGCGGTTTAGGGTTGAGGGTTGAGGGTTTAGGGTTTAGGGTTTAGGGTGTAGGGTTGGGCTTCCTAGACCCGTGAACCCCCAAAGGGCTCCACCTCCCAAGGCTTGCAGGGTTTTGAGGTTTTCGGGTTTAGGGAACCCTAAAACCTAAATACCTTAAAACCCTAAACCCTAAACCCTAAACCCTAAGCCCTAAACACCCTAAACCCTAAGCCCTTAATGCCCTGAACACGCAAGCTCCCGGCGTAAGGCTCTTGGACCAGGGCTGGTTGGCGCAGGAGCGCTCGCGGAACTCCCAGTTCGTCGCCTGGATCTCCTCCAAGCACCCTGGCGGAGTCACCCTAAACCCTAAACCCTAAACCCGAAACCCGAAACCCTAAACCCTAAACCCTACACCTTAAACCCTGCACCCTGAACCCTGTTACTGTTTTCGGTTGAGACGTGCTCGAAGTTGAGGGATTCAGGGTTTACGGGGTGAGGGTCTGCCAGACCGTTTCTCGCACATTCATGAGAGGCCACAGACATCTGTTAGGAGCCCAGGACCCCTCAAGCAGAAAGAAGCCTTCTGACCCTCCCCAACATCCGAAAACCCCAAAGCTTCAATGTTGGAAGCCCCCTGAGCCCAAAAACCTTACATCAAGGAATCTAAATTAGGATTCCGTAATAATGTAAAGATACTCTATTCTTCGCTTTTGAACCCATACTATGGTAGTTATACAACAAGACCCAAAATCCAAAACCCAAAGCCCTAAACACTAAACCTTAAACCCTAAACCCTAAACCAACCCTACTTGCCGTTACGTCCCCGAAGCCTGGCATCTCCTCTCCGAAGAGCCGCCCAGGAGCGGCGTGCTCGTTCAGCTCCTTTGCGTTGCGGTGCCCTGACTGCGATGGCACATGCAGCCTCTGGTGCTTTTGGTTTAGGGTTTCGGGTTTAGGGTTTAGGGTTTAGGGTTCAGGGTTCAGGGTTTGGGTTTCAGGGTTAAGGGTTTAGAGTTTAAAGTGTAGGGTTTAGGGTCATTGGGGCTTAGGGTTTTGGGCTTTGCTTCTTGGTTCTCTCAGGCGCTGGGCTTCTGGCAGTTGTTGAGGGTGTAGGGTTTAGGGTTTAGTTTAGGGTTTAGGGTTTGGGGTTTAGAGTCGTAGGATGGGTTTCCGGAGTATCCTGACCCTACTGAGATCTTCGTGTTCTTTGACTCGGCACGGACGATTGTGAGACTTGGCCCGACTGTACGGAGAGCCGAAGGAGCCCCGCAGTAGGAGGGCCAGAATTGGGGGTTTATAGTTGAGGGTCTAGGGTTTAGGGTTTAGAGGCCGCGCCGGGGTGTAGGCTTCCGGGTTTGGGGTTTCAGTCAAGTCCCAGGACCATGAAGAGACCCAAACCGCTGCCCAAGGCCAGTGGCAGAAACCCAAAGGTCCTTTGTCCAGGAACTTGAGCCGTAAACCCCTCAACCCCCTCAACCCCCTCAACCCCCTCCACCCCCTCCACCCCCTCCACCCTCCTCAACCCCCTCAACCCCCTCAACCCCCTCAACCCCCTCAACCCCCTCAACCCCCTCAACCCCCTCAACCCCCTCAACCCCCTCAACCCCCTCCACTCCCTCCACCCCCTCCACCCCCTCAACCCCCTCAACCCCCTCAACCCCCTCACCCCCTCAACCCCCTCACCCCCTCAACCCCCTCACCCCCTCAACCCCCTCAACCCCCTCAACCCCCTCAACCCCCTCAACCCTCCAAACCCCTTAAACCCCTTAAACCCACTTACTCCCTAAACCCTCTGTATTGCTAAGCGGGGCTTTGTTGACAATATGGGCGCTTCTTGGGGGTCATTGGCATGCATTGGATTATACGGGGTTTAATTGCACCCCTTCATTGTGCGCTTTTTGGCCTCCCCACCCCACCACCCCCCGTCCCCTCCCCCCTGCCCCCCCCATCCGGCCCCCACACCCACCTCGTTACAGAAGCTCAAGCCGGAAGAGGCCGACGATAGGTAGACCGCCTACGCGTATTGTCTTATGGAATTCGCATGTGGGGACCGTCAATTGCAGCCCCATCCACGTAAGTTCATTTTCGACAGCTGTTAATTAGGCTTCGAGGTGATTTGGTGCACACCCTGCAATTGCCAGCGCAGAACGTAAGTCCTAAATCCTAAGCCCTAAACCTGAAAGCCCTAAACTTTAGGCCCTAAGCCCTAAACCCTAAACCCTAAGCCCTAAACTTTAGGCCCTAAACCCTAAACGTAAGACCCGCATAAACTTGAAACTCTACACACCCAGAAGACCAGCCAGCAGAACGGTTGATCCAACTTCCGGGCTCCTTTTTTGTGCGGCACTCGGACCCAAAAGGAATATACCCCAAAACCCAAACCCCCTAAACCCTAAACCCTAAATCCTAAACCCTAAATCCTAAACCTAAACGCTTAAACCCGATCTGTTCATTGTTTAAAGCCCGAAACTCCAAGCAGCCAGAGCCGCGAGCGGCCGAGGAATGATCAATTCATCCGGAGCGCTCCAATCGTCTCCCAGTCGGTCACTTGGGAGCCCAGCGGTACCCTTTTGCCCCTTTTTGGGTTCTGGTTTTCCTTGTAGGGTTAATGGTTTAGGGTTTAGGCTTTCAGGTTTAGGTTTGAGCGGAACCTACACCCGAACCCCTAAACCCTAAACCCTAAACCCTAAACTCTAAACCCTAAACCCTAAACCCTAAACCCTAAACCCTAAACCCTAAACCCTAACCCCTGATTCTGCCATGGCTACGAGCTACCCAGGTCACGTTTGCGCAGTTTGGGGCCTCCGTGGTGGCGGCGACAGCTGCAAACAGACAGCTGCAAACAGGGTTTAAGGTTTCGGGTTTGGGGTTTAGGGTTTGGGGTTTAGTGTTGAGGGTTCCTTGCCCGGTCTTGGCAGGTTCTTAGCTTTGTTGCTCAAGTTGAATATGTACATATAATGATAGTATTGCAACATGTATCTTATTTTATTGTAAGAAAAGTATGATCATAGTTGT